ACAGAGAGCTTTAATTTTTGGCAACTCATTCAGCCTTTTTGGCACTTAAACCTTTTTAACTGTTTATCTATATCAAATATTTTTTACTAATAACCTACAAGATGGCGACCAAGTTGAAGATAATAATTAAACTAAAGAATAAAGAATATAGTTGACTAGAGACCATATACCTTTTTAAATATTAAAATATAATAACGTAAATTTTTTCTCAAAAGGAAAGATAAGGTAACCTGCACTATTAAGCAATTAGGTAAAAGATCACTAGAGGAGCTTCCTTCATGTCATTCCGCACATCATATTAAGGCGCGTACTGATGAGCAAATTTGTTCACACGAACGCTGTGTGCGCAAAAATGTTCAGGTTTGTAGATGTGTCCACATAAATTTAACCGGCACTAATGCTATCTATGTGCTATCCGTCAATAGTCGGTTTCTGGATGACATAAAAGAATATTTACGCGTAAATTTGCTCAGTTTGAACGGTATTTGTGAATGTAGTGGTTGTGCCCGTACATTGTACAGATTGATTTCATTAGAAATTGTTTAATTTAAGATTTTTTTAAAGAAAAAAGAATCCAATTTTATGGGAAGCCAAACAGTTTGGGAGTTGAAATGTATAGTATGCGATACTCTCGTACGTAAGTACTCTCATCTAGCGGTTCATCAATTTTTTAATGGAACTATTTTTAAATAAACAATTAAAACGTCAAACTCCTTACTTTGCTCATAACTTAATCAAAGTAAAGTTTAGGGCTTTAAACTTTATTTACATTTAGTAATAGACAATAAAACAATATGATTTATAATGCCTTCAAAGAACACTTTTGAGAAATTTGGAGTATTTACTTGTAATTTGGGAAATTTTCATTTAAAAAAATAGGTTCACTTTTTTCAAATGTTTATAACAACGCTAATATAGCCAAAAATAATATCGCTCTAGATCTAATCAAAAGCTAGAATTGCCAAATCTTAAAACTTCCAACACGTCCAATAATTTAAATAAAAATTACCAATAATAAATTCCCTTAATTTATGAACACAAAAATGCAGTCGTTGTTTTGCACTCATGAATTAACTCCGGTGCATGATAAAATCTACAGTCTGCCTTACGAGAACACTAACCACTTACCCACGAAAGTGTTAAATTTTGAACATGTTTAATTGCACATGTATTTGAAAACTAAAATTATACTCTTACAGCGAAAAGGAATCTTCTAGTCAAGTTCTATCCAATATAGACTAAACAAAACCTCTAAGTACATAGTAGCTAGAAAAAAAGGCGACTAGTTGATTTGGTGACCCGCGAGAGGAGTCTGTAATTTGATTAAAGTACTTTACTATATAACACTAAACGTTTTGTTTCGTCTTTGCTGAAATGGATCTCGACTGTAGCCGAAGCACAACATCTGGATATAAAAGATATTACATGAATGTATCTACTGCATTTGATCAAAGTAGCTTGAGCAGCTTCCTCTTTTGATATTTGGAGATGGACTTTGCTGCAAAGCCGTTTAAAATTGAATTATTTGTTGTGTGATCTGTCCACGAAATTCGCAATATTCTTCTCCAACAATGGCATCTATCTTTATTTCTTAGCACTCCTTAAATGAATATTTCTCTTGTTTTTTGTCATAAAGCAGGACTGTTTTATGTCTCAGGTGCAACAGGTGTTCAAGTGCCAACATTGATATACAGGGTGTGGTCAGAAAAAAACGCATACGCAGAGTGTAGTCAGAAAATCATGAAAAACGTGCCCTTCTATTAATAAACCATCTAAAGTTCAATTCTCGCAGCAACAAAGAAACCATTCTATCGGTAAACTCGACTATATTCTAATGGTAAAAATTTTGGAAACTTTACAAAAAAACAGATTTAAGCGAAACGCCAAAAGTTCGAGTTTGTGAATGGCAATATTGGTAATATCCAATTGGAAGCGTTTAGTAGAAAAACCAGCAAAAAGAACAGGCAGAAAACCGAAAGTTAGTGAATACGAAAAGACCTTTTGCCCCAGTGTACTACGGTCACTATGAAGCATCCTGTGAGTGTCATGATATGGGCTTGTATGACCACTAATGGAGTTGAACGTTTAGCAGTAACAGAAAGCTCTATTAATGCAAAAAAATATCAGGAACAAGACAAACTGCTACCGACTATCAGAGATTTGTTTGAATAGGATGCCCTATAATGTATCTTCCAACAGGATGGAGCGCCTTGACATACGGCTAAGACTTCCATGGAATGGTTGAGAAACCATGAGGTTACTGTCCTGCCTTGGCCTGGAAATAGTGTCGATCTACACCCAATAAAAAATTTATGTTCAAGCTGGAAGTGTTAGTATCTCGCCGAAGGATAAGTAACAAGAGAGAACTGAGAGAAGCCATTATTCAAAACTGGTTTAGAGTTATTAGACCAGAAGATTTGGCTCATCTCGTGAACTCCATTCGCAGAATCGAGTCTGTCATAAAAAAAGAAAGGGTATTCCACCAAATACTAATGTTCTTGATAATAACCATTGTACCATATTTTTTAAACATATCTACTAATAACTAATGGTTGTTGTTTTATTTATTTTCAAATTTTTAGAGGATTTTCCCTCTTAAAATAGATATTAAATGTGAAAAAGAGGAACGCTGATAACAAAACTAAAATTTTTGTAAAGTTTCCAGAATTTAGTGCGTATCACGGTGACTGGTTAAGACGCTTACTGTCTGACGTTACAAGGGACGCTCACAAAATGGTGATATCTGTCAAACTGTCTTTTAGCACTTCTTTTCTGTCTGTCATTCGATGCGATTTATCAGAGCCTGTTATTTCTGTCCATTTGTTTTGTGTAAAGTCTTCGCTGGTTGAGACGCCTCACTATAGTACTACGATGTTACAAGTTACGTTCACATACACGAGATCTGTCAAATCTTCTTCAGAGCTTCTTCTTTTTCAACTATCATGATGCGATCTATAAGCTTTTCTCACTTCTGTAATCTGTTGTGTGTAAAGTTTTCGCTGCCTACTACTGCACTATGAAGTACAAGCCATGCTCACACACGCGACATCTTTCTTTTCACAAAAAGTATTCGTTTTCTTCTAAATTTTATTAGGCAACCATCATTTCTCTGCAATCTCCAAAAGCTAGTCTGTCACGTAAGATTTGCTCGTTTGATACGTTAAAATCTCATAGCTATTTCTCTTCTCGGTTGAAATATTTTTAAGTATGTCTTTTAACTGATCATAGAAAGCTTTTTCAACCTCATTAAATCCGACAAATGCAGTTCCTGTAGCAGCAGATTGAGGGTGAAGGAAACGCTATCATTGTAAAGTAACATGGACGTTTGTCAGATTCCAATAGATAGATCTGAACAAGTAATAACAAGGTATATCCCATATCAGTTGGCCCACCTATGTAATTTGCAGATTAAGTCGATTACCATCAACAAATTATACTTTGTATGTTTTTACGAGTTCCCATATTTAATTAATATGGCATTTTTATGAATATTTATTAAAAACCTTACCCTTATGGTTTTTTATTTATTTTCAACAATAAAAAAATTTCACTAAACCCTGACTATGCAATGTCAACATACGTTGATTTTTTCATAATTACGTTAAATCTAGAGGTAGCTACGAAAAATGACATCAAAACAATAATATTGTCAGTTACTGTCAAATGTATTTGGATTGTAGAATAGGCCGAGGTAAAGTTATCGACGAAAAAATCTGTTCAATCATTATTAGATTTTTTAATTCTGGAAAATCTAATTCCGGGTTAACGAAAAGTCACTTACATTACAACATTACAAAAGTCACTTACATTACAGTCACAACATTACAACAAAAGAAAAATAGACTAAGATGGTCAAAAGAGCATAAAGATTGGACTCAGTTGCAATGTGATTCAATACAATGAAGTGATGAGTCCAGATTTGAAGTATGTGTTTAAGACAGTAGGAATTGAGCCATTCGTAGGAAAACTGATGCTTTCGATCCTGCCTGTCTGAAGAGAAAACTCAAATGTCCTGCATCTGTTATGATCTGGGGCAGCATGTCGCCTAAAGGTGTGGAAAGTTACATTTTATCGATAAATATTTGAATATTTTAGAAGAATCTCTTTTACAAGTTATGGAACACCGTTTAACATCAGCGGAAGATTGTGTCATCCAACAGGACGGCGCAGGTTGTGATACCTCAAAAAAAGAGTTTAAAATGGATTGAAGACCATGGCATACCATTTCTGGAATGGGTTTCTAACAGTCCCCACTTGTCCCCGATAGATATTTGTGGCGCGAAATGAAAAAAGCTTTGAGAAAACATCCTGCCAGGTCCGTTAATGAATTGAAGGAAAAATTGCAAGAAATATGGGCTTCGTTTACATTAGAGTTTTGTCAGAACTTGGTAAAAACTATGCCTCGAAGGATTGTGGATGTAACTCAGTGGTAAACTTTCACACTTTTTTTGTTAATATTACATATTCTATGCGCTTTTATTAATTTATTATTATTCTGATCCTATTCGGTTCAATTAATAGGTTTCATAAATTATAAAATATTTTCTATTAGAAAATTCAAAAATGTTGTTCGACACATTAAAATTTCTAAAATTGACACTGCCTTTTATTTTTGTTCTCTAAAATTTAATTTTCTTATCAATTTAACGTAATATTCTAGTCCAGTAAACAATATTCTAGTGTTTACCAAAATTCCATCTAATTTATTTCTTTGCTGTATAAACACTGGTTATTGTGATGGTTTTAACCAATAGTTTGTAGAATCTCATAGCACTGCAAAACGTATTAATAAATCCATTGATTCACATCAATGCTCTCTATTAAATAGCAGATTAAAAGCAAGTAAACTTCATTCAGGTATTCTTCATTACTAAGAATCAACACATGTGCATCCGCCTAAGATTGGTAATCGGGCAGACATCCGGTGTATGTGTAGACACATTCATTAGCTGTGCGGTCCGTTAAAAAAACGGTCCGTTGAAAAAAATAACGTTTAAAATGGGCTTAATAGTTTAATTGTATAAATTAAAATCTTTATAGTCAAGAGTTGCGATTCGGATATGATTCCTTAAAACCACATAAAAACACAAGAATTAAACATGAAAAAATATTTTTTAACAGGGAATAAACAAATAACGATTATATGTGTATACATAATAAATAAAAATGTTATGAAAGTGACATATACAAAAAAATTGAGCTTTTAACAAAAATAACTTGCAAAATAACAAATAAAATTAAAAAGAGGCATGCCAATGAGGCAATTTTACAAATATGTTTCCTAAAATAGAAGACTAAAATGTTGGCAGTTGTTATTTTTGAAAGGCAACACAATATTCATTTTAAAGGAATAAAATATTTTAAAATGTAAATAATAATACATACAGTGGGGCATAGTCTCTGTATAATTCGACAGAAATTTTCCAATTCTAAAGGTGTATTTTAAAAATATGTTCTAGTGTATAAAAAATTCCAAAACAGTCGGCAATACAAATAGACAAAATTTTGATAGACACCATTACCTTTTGAACAGTTTTAATAATACTTTAATTATGCTTATTACAAGAATGGACAAAATAAAAAACAAAATATTACAAAATATTAAAGTGTGACTTCACATTTAAGTGATTTTCTAACTATCAAATTCCGCGGGGCGTTCCAAATTTTTGCGGAAAAATACAGTATAACTGATATACTTTAATTGAGGCGTCTCATAGCAAAACTCTCTTTATCCAAATTTTACGGAAAAAAAAGGTTAATATGGTAACGCATTCTTAAGGTTGATATGCTCCTCTTACAGTAATATTTCCGTAACAAATGTTGCTTTATCCCATTAATATTCAAAGGCAAAATATTGCTGTCAGTGCAAAACTCGCCTTATCCACTGCATCTTACGTGTCAAAACTCGCCTGATCCACGCAGCCTATAAGAATGCTGGAAACATGAAGCACGTGATACAAACTGACAATTTTATTTTTATTCGGTTGTTGAGGCAGTATATTAGCAAACATTTGTCTGCGCAGTGTGCTAATATGATCATTGTTTTGTGTTTTATTTGATAAATGTATTCAAGTTCTATTTTTTGAAATTATACGAAATTCATTGGTCCAAACATGGAGCAAAAATAAAGTCGGCGGAGGGAAAAAGACAAGTTTTGAGATAAGACGCCTTAATTGTCACTACTATTTCAAGTAACTTGAACAACTTTTAATTATTTAAATTATCTTAAACTTGAAACTGGAATAGAATATAAGGTGTTTAATGATTAAAATGTGTTCTTATTGCCACCTATTAAAGAAATACTCGATATATCGGGAGTATATTTAAAATACACCCTTAAAATATCTAACTGTGTTGTCAAAATCTCAAATGTTTAGCTCTTGCTTATGTACAGAATTCCTCGAAGCTTGAACTCTACACCACTCTGTATATATTGTATAACTAATCAGTAAATGACTTTCATGTTTACGTGGTTAAAAATTTGGCATTAGATGGAATCACAGTCGTGCCTTTCTTCCTTGGTCCAACTGTCGTACCTCCACTCTCTGTAGTAGAACTTTTTCTTGAAGTGTGTATCATGTTTTTTCTTATCTTCTGGGTACCTCTGGTATTTTAACAGAGCTGGATTCAACCTAGTGGGACTTCTATCTACAGGTACTGGTTCGGGGCTGAAGTTTATTGATAAGCTATTAGATCGGATAGGGGAAGAAGGGGATGGGGTTTCGGGGAGGGCCTAATTCGTCAGTACCTTGATCTAAAATAGGCGGCGAATCAAGGTACGTCTTACTTGTAGGCATTTTGAAAAGAGTTGGTTTAGTATTAGGATTAAGTTTTAAATGTTGCTTTGTGGGGGGAACTATGGTACTTGGGGGAATGTCTCCATGTCCATGGCCGATACCAGAATCAGGTGACGTATTGCAACTATCAGTTCCTTCGGTCGATCTACGGCGTTTATCCAATTCCGTCGAAGCGAAGGCAACAAGACGGTCGAAACCTGAAGAAATTCGGTCCTGCCATTTTGATTCTTCGCTCTCTTCCTCGACTACGTCGACATCTAAATAAAAAAACGTACGTCAAAATAATGTATCGAATATATATTTAAATAAATAGTAACAAAATAGTAAATAATGTGGTCAAAGTAAATAAAGGAGTTACCGTTGAAAATAAATAAACTTTTAAATTCAATTAAATTAGTTTGATTATAGACACATTTTATTAACTACAGAATAATATATGTTTTATCTTTACGACACTAATGCACATATTTCTTTTAAATTAGAAAATCTCTTAGTCGGGATAAGGATTCCATTCCATGCACTAGTTTAAGGTCCATACGATGTAAGACTTCATGAAGTCGCTCTATAAACATTACAATATATTTACTGGATGAGCATATTATTCCATATTGTATTAATAAACGATGAGTGGGAAATAACATTTCAATTTTCACTTGTGAAGCAACTGTTCAGACCATGGATTTTCAAAAAGATTCCAAGATTTCGTATCAGCATCTCAAATTTGTCGATAAGGGTTTTCTCGTCAACATCCCATTGAGTAGCTCACCAAGGTGATGCGAGAAATTATTTGCAAAATTTGGTCCGAGGAGCAAATGCCTGAAGAATTGAGCTTAGGCTTAATTTTCCCGTTACACAAAAAGGGAAACGGGAAACCAACTGGAATGCAATAATTACCGCGGAATAACTATTTTAAATACAGATATTGTGAAACATTTTGCACGAGAAATTGAAGCCTTATACCGAAATATTTCTAGGAGAATATCAGGCAGGATTCAGGCGTGGACATTCAACCACTAACCAGATCTTTACACTGGGACAGATCCTCGAAAAAGCGTAAAAGTTTAACATAGATATGTACCATAATTTTGTCGACTTTAAAGCGGCATATGACAGTGTCTTAAGACCAAGTCTTTATAACGCTATAAATGATTATGAATTAGGAATTCCAAAAAAACTCATATGTTTGATAAAAGTGACAATGGCAAAGATGCTATCAGCCGTAAAAATTCAAAATGACTCGTCAACCCCATTTGAAGTACATAGGGGGTTAAGGCAGGGAGATGCGCTGACGTGTCAGCTTTTTAATGTGGCCTTAGAAAAAGTTGTACGAGACGCTAATTTAGATAGCGAACAATATTTAATAAATCAGTCCAAATTCTAGCACATGCAGACGACGTGGACATTCTAACAAGAACCATGGCGAGAACTGCGGAAATCCTAATCGGGATAGTAGCAGCAGCAGAACGAATGGGGTTACATATCAATCAAAATAAAACCAAATTCATGGCGACTAATACAAACACAAGAGCTGGAAATGTTGACGCAGATTTAATCATCAATGATCAAAACTTCGAAGCAGTCAAAGAGTTCATATACCTAGGGACATCGGTTAACCCCAATAAGAACACATCTGAATTGCAAATAGGTGTTATCATGGTCTATCAAAGTACTTAGCTAACGAACGTCTGTCTCAAAAACTCGTAAAGGCTGTATAGAACACTGATAGTCCCCGTTCTCACATATGGATCAGAGGCATGGACGCTAACTAAAACAGATGAATCCACTCTATCGATTTTTGAAAGAAAGGTGCTACGCAAGATATTCGGAGCGGTCTGTGAGAACGGAATATGGAGGTGTAGATAACTTTGAACTGCAGAATATCTACAAACGTACGTTTCGTGGTAAAGATATTACAACTATAATTAAGCGAAACCGCCTGCAGTGGGCAGGACATGTAGCCCGGGCCCCTGAATCGAATATGATTAAAAGATTCTAACAGCGCAACCCGTGAGAATGAGAAGACGGGGTAGACCAAAGCTGAGGTGGATGGACGGGGTAACACAAGATGCCGAGAAGATCGGAGTCGGCAACTGGAAAATGCAAGCAAGGACGGAACAGAATGGCGTAGAAAACTTGAGAAGGTCGAGGCCCTCTAAGGGCTGTAGCACCAAGATAATGATCCCATTCACCTTCTAGCATTGCTGTTTATAATCATTTGCTGTTTATAATTAACTTCTATTGTGACTCTTAGATTTTTAAAGGTTGCTTTCAAGCTGGAATTTGATTTAGTTCCTTATACTGACGTCTTTTGTCATTTTATTCAGTTCTTTCGTGTATTTTATGTGTCGTGACAATTTTGATAGAACTACTGTGGTGATTTTTTGACGTGTTAAGGCGTATTCACGTATCTATACAACTGGATTCGTGTATTGCAATAATTTAACAAAGGACACATTGAAAATAATCAGAACAAAGATACAAGCAGCTAAAGGGAAATGTTATAACGATAAAAAATGCTCAGGAATAGAAGAACTACAGACAAATTATGACATTTTTAAATGAGATGTAAGATAATAATGTAATAGATGCATTCTAACATCATTTAGGATACCGTCAAAACGGAGAGGACATTGTGAATACTTGATTAGGTAAACATTAATTTAGCAATGTAGTAATCTTTTAATCATTATGTTCAAATTGATTTGTACATAGTTTGAATCAGAAAATTTGTTATGAGGATTTTGCGTTTGTTTGGCATTTTGTTTTATATTTTTAAGATGTTCCTGACTACATAAAGACGAAAATATTGTATACGGTTTAACTGGTATTAAAATGGAAATTTCAATTAAGGTGCAATATACAGTGTCTTGTATTTAAAAAACCAAACTAACTAATGATATCAGAAAAATGGTAAATCTGGCAACGCTGGAAGCATCAAATTTGAAATCTCCATATTGCAGAATAGGCGTATCCTGGTGTTTGTGCAATTCGGAGCATCCTTTTAAGAGATAATTAGGCGTTCCTAGACTTTTGGTTCACTCTGTATATTTTATTTAAGCAGGCAAAGAGAAAACAGTAAATAATTGGAAGAAGAGAAATAGTTCGCAACAAAATAATTAAAAATAAGGTGGGAAATAAAAAAACTAGTGAAATCAGAGTTTAAAAAAACATTTCATTATAAACTCCCGAAAACTAATCAAATCAATATTTGACAAAATATCTGGAGTAGTAAAGTAAATACCTGCAATTTAAACAATTGAAATGTTTCATCAAAATTCAATTTTGTCATCACAGATAAAACATGAACAATGAAAGTCGAATTTTAGACTACTATTAGAATCTAGCAAAGTACTATGTGTGTCAGAATTAATATACTAAATCACCACCACCAAAATAAAAAAAAAATTAATTAGCTGTGTGGCAAAATTAAAATAAATAAGCGCTAAAGCTACTTACCACCATATATTTAACCAGCTTCTAAATCTAGTATGGTATAGCATGCCTAAATTGTGCGCGTGAGTATTGTGAGCATGCCTGAATGTGCGCCTCCTATATTTAACGCAAACAAACTACAGTAAATAGGAATAATTAAATTTAAAAATTGGTATTATACCGAATCAAGTCTGATTTACTGCCAAATGGTATATCGTTTAGGTCTCAAATTTAAATCTCCCTTATAACAATCTCCCTTAATAACAATTGGTTGATATTATGTACAAACAAATATATAGACCAGATTCAGAATATGTGAACCAAAATATTCTTTTTAATTTTTTTTTTCATTTTTTATAATAATTTTGCTGTATATTTGCAAATCGTTTACCTAAATCTGAACAAATGTATAAATTTTAACAAATTATATTATTTTAATCTTATTATAGAAATCTACTTGGATACCTGGGAAATGGGTGATTAAGATGATTTATGATAGCTAATAGAAAATGAGGTAAAGCTCCATCTTAAATAAACTACATGTGTCCTTAATCCAGTGATAAATCATCCATACTATCACTAGGAGTATTGCACAAACAAAAATAATTTTTAATTTAAATTTGGAGGAAGAACTCAGCCATAGTAGTGACTAGATAGATACTAGGAGTGTCTAGGTGGAGATCTAGTGACCAGATAGGAGAAGATCCGTAGGTCGGAACCGATCTACAGAACGGAGTAAATAGGAGTGACACAATGGGAAATAGTGGCATAGGTCTGACAAGAATTGAAGGCAGTAATAAAGACAGAGACCACAAAAAAGAACCAATAAAAACACAATTACAAATAACAGTGTGATCATATACCGTCATAGAGATATTGATGTATCAGTATACATACTGATACATCAATCATCAATACCCACATAAGTAAATTTTGTATAGTAATATTATGTCACTCTAAATTAAATTTAACGCTGAAATGATCTTACTTCACATTTTGTATCCGCATCCAAATTCAAAAAGTAGAAAGACATGTCTTTATTGGACGATTACTGCTTGATAATTTTTACTTTTAATTATCTTTTGTCAGTATATCTTTTCAGACACCTGATTTCAGAAACTGTAGTTGCAGATTTGTAATTTTTTTGTGTGTTTTACCTTATTCCTTTTTTGTAATAAATTTGCTCAGTTTTTTCCAGTAAAAGTTGATCTACATTGTGCTCCTATAATGTATTTTACAATGAACTACCTAAGCTCTGACGTCACAATGGGCGGGGTTTTAAAAACCTTTCCAAAACATTTCTAATTTGTGTGAATTTGTCTCATAAGAAGTTGGAAATATGTTTTGAAGAATAAAAAGGACTTTTGGTTATAAACATTCATTCTGTGCGATTGGTATTACGTGTTGTTCGTGAATTTGTAAGATAAGAATATCAAAGTATTAAGATATTAACTCTGAATGTTCATATTTTAGTGTTATGTTATTGTTTGATTAAAACTAATTTTTTTACTGATTTCAAGGTAGTTTGTTGATATTTTTATCAGGGTTATTTCAAAATTAATCAATAAATCATTGAATGTATTTACGAAGTTAAAAAAATATTTATAAAATAAATACTCATATTTATCAACAGGAACACCAACGTACTGGCCAACGGACCCCACAAAAAGACCAGACCTCTTAGATTTTTGCATCATAAAAGGAATATCTAACACCTTTATGGACATAGTTCCAAGTTATGATCTATCTTCAGATCATTCACCAATTATTGCAACAATTAGCACCTGCGTTATTAACAAACAACCTACTCCAAAACTGCATGGAC